TATATATATATATATATATATATATATATATATATATATATATATATATATATATATATATATATATATATATATATATATATATATTTATTTATTTATTTATTTATATTTATATATGTGTGTGTGTGTGTATAAAGTCATTTTGTTGACAACAATGTCCTTCAGAGGCCACGCTGTCATGTTAATCCCCCAGAGTGCATCATAACGTTAAGTGAAAATTGAAATGGAACAAACAGAAGTGGAAAGCGAAATAATCTGTAATTTTTTTTTTTTTTTTTAAGAATTAACCATCGATCTTCTTATTTTACACGAAGCTCTGCACTGGAGCACTGAGCACTGGTGGAACACAGTTGTTTGTTTCGGTATAAAAAATAAGTTAAAAATGTAGATCGACTGTCATCTTAAGCTTGTGATTGTTACCGGAGATGTGGTAAAATTGAGCCCCATGTGAAGCACCGTAAGTGAGGCCGGTGGTGGGAGTAACACAACTACACGAGGCCCAGAGTAATTACATTAACCAACTCTCTGTGACAGTGAAAAGTTATTTAATTTCAAAGACATTGGGACTCGTTATAAGAACATAAGAAAATAAGGAGTCTGCAATAGGCCGGTTGGCCTGTGCATGTATTTGTTGTATTAAATGATTTTCATCAATTTTATACACTAATGGTATTGTACTTTATGTAGTATAGTGACCTGAAACAGCCTTGTGAGTGCATACAACGGTCAGCCTTTAAGTTTATTTCAGTCAGCTGATCTGTGACGTCATAGACTGTACAGAGTGTCGTCAATGATAACACTGTCAACAGATATGTGACGTCACAGGCAATCTTTGTATACAGAAGTAGACTGTTGTAAGAGAGACGTGTACCAAGACGATGGGAAACAGGAGAGAAAATGTGAGGGAATGAAGGCGTGAGTTATTCTGGCGGTGATATTGGCTCTTGTGTATGCAAGACGGTCACGATTGAAAGTGCGAGAGTAATATTCTGGAAGATTCAGCCCCGTAGACACCAAGAAAGACTGATACTCGTTTCTTTTATAGCTAAAACTGTGCTCTCTCTCTCTCTCTCTCTCTCTCTCTCTGTGTGTGTGTGGGGGTTATTGTTTCGGGCTTCACACGTCTCTCCTTCATCTCAGGGTAAAGGTGCAGTCTGATTCGTTTGTGACGGACAGACAGGCAGACAGACAGACAGATAATTCAGTAAAAGCTTCACATAGGTTTCCATTGGATTAACTTATACAGCACATAGACTGTGCAGGTATACACACAGTAAGTCGGGTCAACCAGAGGGGTGGCCAAACAAAGCCACTAAAAGCTTACTTTGATTTAGGGTCTCAAGTCTTCTCACCACAATCAAGGACATGTTAGCAATATCCTTCACCTGGATATTGTGTCATTTTGTGTCACCTGATGATTAGCCCCCCACCCCCTAATTTTCACCTTGAGATTAATCACCATAACGCTGACTTAATCTAAAATACTCCAGCATATTTCACCTCAAGATTAACCACCCTAAATCTGACCTGACCTGGCCTAACCTAACCTAACCGAACCTAACCTAACCGAACTTATCCTTCCAGGTAGCATAAAGGTGTTTAATCAGGTGAAATAATGAAATGAGTAAAATAAAAACTCATTGTGAGAGAGTGAGATCTTACCGTGAGAAAGAGGGCTTGTAAAGGTAGCAATATTTACATGATCTTGGGGGTTTCTAAACACGAGGCTGAATACAAGTTATTTATTAATTATCTAATAAAACACTGGAAATTACTCATTATAGATAATATTAATAAAATCAATACTATATTATTACTAGTGCACATATTTCACTTATGACTGCCCAGTTACCACTAAACAAAGAACAATCGCACTTCCCACATTCTGTGAAACTTTAACTGTTACTTAACTGTGACTGACTGTCGGGTCGAGATTCTGCATCCCTGACTGACAGATTCCAAACTCCAGACTCGGACTAACTTTTCCTGCTTGTTGGGGCAGTAATTATTTGAGTCTCAGGGTCATGGGGCCAGTACTTTAACCATTGTGAAAACAGGACCCATTGCTCTCTTGTGTCTTTTTTGGGGTCAGACTTTATCTAGGTTACCTTGTGGTGGCGTGTTCAGGCTACTTGTGGTGCGTCGACTAGTTACAGCTATAGATGTGGTCCTTCTCTGGCTTGGATAACTTTGGCCTGACTGAAAACCATTAAAATATTCTGGATGGGGCTAATCTTCACGTGATCCGTCATTTTGCTGTGAGACATCGCTCTTGCCATCTCACTGTGAATACTCTGGAGCCCTGCAATCTTCTGTTCACTGGAAGCGGCTGTGTTTTTATGTAATCTTACCCCAGGGAGTGATCAGGATCTTGTCAGGTCGTCATTTCATTTCATTTAATGTTTTTTCTTCATTGTTTCCAGCTTTCGTTTACTATTCATGAACTTTTATACAACAGATTATAGTTATGTCATAAGTCTTCCTCCCAGTACTATGACGGATTGATATATCTTCACGCCTCCCCTCATCTCCCGCCTCCTGAGACATACCGGGTTTTTTCTCTCTCCAATAGGTCATCACTCTTCTCCCATGTGTTCTCTTTTACTCCTACATATCTGACGATTTATCTTCTTGAGCAAATTTTTTTAACTTAACAGCTTCAGATTTCAAGAGAGGTTACTTTTGCATTGTCCGGTTGTTTTTTTTTCCTTCAACTTAGCATCTTAGTTATTTTTCAGTGCCTCTGCGTTTTGGTCAGTTCCATATTACTTTTGAAAGAGATGCATCATGTCTTCCTCAACATTTCTCAAGATATCGTTATCATCTCTTGGCGAGGCTAAGCTATCTCAAATGTGGTCCTGCTTATTATAACTGTCTTCTTATCACACTCTAGACTTGGGAAAGGTTCGGTCCGGTAACACCTCTGTGGGCAACACTAACGAAGTATCCTTAAACTATGGCCGCAGTTTATACTTAGGGTGATCTACAGCAAGTACAGTTACACCAAGAGTATAATTGATTTTCGTTCAGCTTTGGATTCAACAAATGTTATTGACTTTCATGCACAGCTGTAGATAAAACCTAGATATTTAAATACGTCCAAATTTTTATCTGGGTGTCCATGGTCCGTCGCATGTATACAACATAAAGTGAGCGTAGACTTTTACAACAAAATCGAGTGAACATTCTCGTGATACAAACTAATGGTTGTAGGTGACAGTAAGTCATGGTGAGGCATCGTTCATGTTTGTTTTACTTTGTGTGTGTGTGTGTCTTGGATATAATGTTGGTGTTTGGCGACAACAAAGGTGGAGGATTCAATATCAATAACTAGAACAAACTCACAGATTTTTGTATCACCATCGTAAACCGAACATTCATATATATATATAGGGACATGATATTAACAGTGGCTTAGGCGTCATTACTTGTATGCTGAGCTACTTCAAACAGTATCAGCAATTCCCTTGTTCATATTTCCACGATGATGATGATGATATCCGTGAAGATTTAGAAATAATATTGTTTCCTTTATACAATTTTTTTTCTTGTTAAGTCTCAGTAAGAGCACCAGTTTTTACAGGGAGCAGCAGTGAAGTAGTGGAACACAATCCTCACCAGATCGACGCCCATGACCACAACCATCACTACCATCATCAGCACCACCACAACCATCACTACCATCATCAGCACCACCACAACCATCACTACCATCATCAGCACCACCACAACCATCACTACCATCATCAGCACCACCACAACTACCACCATCAGCACCACCACAACTACTTTTAAATCACAATTACCACTTCAATCACCACTAACACCATCAGTTACTGTTACCTCTCTACCACCAATACAATCCCTCACCGCTACCACCATCAGCACTACCACTTCCACAGAGTCGATATCCGACATTGGAATAACAGTCTTCATTACCTTTCATCTGTCAGCTACACCAACTATAATATTTCCTCGTGTCGTAAAAAGATAGATTATGTCAATAAAGATAAATAAGTAAACTAGTCCCAGAAAACATTAGTTTTATATAAAACTGTTGTTGTGTAATGAGAGGAGTGTTTGATAAGAGTTCATTCTCCTCTTTGGAAGTTGGAGCGACCATAACTTCGCCATCAGGATGTGTATGTGTGTGTAGGTTTCCACAATGAAAGTGGATGACACTGGTCTTTGTAGTGGCAGCGAAATGTCATCCTTTATTCCCTCTGGTTCTCCTTGATTAATGATCTAATCTTAAAAACGTTAGAGAGATGACCACAAGCTGAGAACATCAGTTTGTATACAAGTTACGTCACAGGATTGGGAAGCATAATGGTGGGGAATGGTAGAGTAATGCTAAAGATGTGGTCAGTGTCCCAAGCGTGGTAACTAACATAGCAGTATTATAAAGTTTGTGTTCTTGCCTAGTGATATTTACTCATCGACATAACTGGTTTATATTTAAGGTCAAATTATGCGGTAAGTGCAGTAGATGACGTCAGAGAGATTATAATGTTGTGTATTTACATGATTGTAGGATTGTATATTGTTTGGTGACTATTGCATGACTCGTCTAGCAAATTCACAGGAGTCAGTATTCTAGGTTCATATTGTCTTTGTGTAAAAAAAGAAAATACCGTGTGTGTGTGTGAACCATATATAACCGTGTGCGTGTGTGAGTGAACCATATATAACCGTGTGTGTGTGTGTGTGTGTGTGTGAACCATATATAACCGTGTATGTGTGTGTGAGTGAACCATACATAACCGTGTGTGTGTGTGTGTGTGTGTGTGTGAACCATATATAACCGTGTGTATGTGTGTGTGAGTGAACCATATATAACCGTGTGTATGTGTGAGTGAGTGAACCATACATAACCGTGTCTGTGTGTGTGTGAACCATATATAACCGTGTCTGTTTGTGTGAGTGAACCATACATAACCGTGTCTGTGTGTGTGTGTGTGTGTGTGAGTGAACCATATATAACCGTGTGTGTTTTACAGGGACTATACACCCGCCACCTGAAGACTGTGGTGGTGGGCCTAGTGCTGGCCACCCTACTGACACTCGTCCTCTACACAACGCCCACCACCACCTCCTTCATCCTCTCTGCCACCACCAACAGCCTCAGGTTAGTGCCACGCCCGTTATACACCCATTTACTTCGTCCATCACACCCACCCACCCACTTATCCTTCATCATACCCACGCACCCTCCCTCACACCCACACACCCTCTACCACACCCACACACCCTCTACCACACCCACACACCCTCCCTCACACCCACACACCCCTCTACACCCACACCCACACTCCCTCACACCCACACACACCCACACACACACCACACCCACACACCCTCCCCACACCCACACACCACACCCACGCACCCTCCCTCACACCCACACACCCTCCCTCACACCCACACACCCTCTACCACACCCACACACCCTCTACCACACCCACACACCCTCTACCACACCCACACACCCTCTACCATACCAACCTTACCAAATGAAAATGGCTTCAGTATTTTTATTTAATTTACGCTTCACTTCACTTATTGATATTAAGTATTTTATTACATATTTATTCTATTTTAAATTTACATATTAATTGTATATAATTGTTGATTTGTTAACGTAACTGTGAATATTCATACTAGTATAACCAGAAGCAAAACTTTTACATATTAATTTTTCGTAATCATTTCCTACCTTACATAATATAACCTAGTTAACTATATTGACTTTATCCTTCACCAGAGTACAGTATGTATAAACAAATATACTGTATATACCTCGGTTATTTATCCCATTGGTAAGATATCGGGATATAGAAAATAATATACAAAATATACCGTACACGAACGAGGAAAGCCAATGACCTGCCTCAATGATGACCAGCTGTTGGCCTTTTGTTTAGAAACTGGCCAATTCACACACTAATATGGGGAAGTGAATACTGTGCAGCAATCACATGAATCACGATATAATGAGCATTCACCCACGTCGACACCCATGCTCTCACCCACGTCGACACCCATGCTCTCACCCACGTCGACACCCATGCTCTCACCCACGTCGACACCCATACTCTCACCCACACCAACGCTCTCGCCCACACCCACGCTCTCATCCAGGCCCACACCCATACCCCTGCCCCCCTCCACACCCACGTCCTCCTCCACACCCACCCTCCACACCCCTCCTCCCACCCGTCCCTCCACGCCCTCCTCCACCCCGTCCTCCTCCACACCCACGTCCTCCTCCACAGCCACGCCCTCCTCCTCCCCACGCCCTCCTCCCACCCCGCCCTCCACACCCACGTCCTCCACACCCATCCTCCTCCACCCCACGTCCTCTCCACACCCCGTCCACACCCACGTCCTCCTCCACACCCCGTCCACACCCACGTCCACACCCACGTCCTCCACACCCACACCCTCCCCACACCCACGCCCTCCTCCACACCCACCCCCTCCACACCCCGCCCTCCTCCACACGTGCGTTACCCCATTAGTATATACTAGCGTTACCCCCATTAGTGTACACCTGCGTTATCCCCATTAGTGTACACCTGCGCTCTCGTCATTAGTGTACACCTGTGTTATCCCCATTAGTGTACACATGCGTTACCCCCATTAGTGTACACCTGCGTTACCCCCATTAGTGTACACCTGCGTTACCCCCATTAGTGTACACCTGCGTTACCCCCATTAGTGTATACCTGCGTTACCCCCATTAGTGTACACCTGTGTTAACCCCATTAGTGTATACCTGCGTTACCCCCATTAGTGTACACCTGTGTTAACCCCATTAGTGTAGACCCGGGTTACTTTCCGTGACTCCGTGAGACCTTTAGGGCTTATGCTGTTGATGGTGGAGCCCCGCCCTCCTGCCACACGCACTCTAACCTTCCCCACACGCACTCAACTCATTGTAGTCCCTGATTCACTCAACTCTTTATATTTCCCTGACTCACTCAACTCATTGTATTCCCTGACTCACTAAACTCATCAGCGTATTCCTTGACTCACTAAACTCATCCTACCTACCCTCTGACTCACTCAATTCATTGTATTCCCTGACTCACTAAACTCACTCTACCTACCCTCTGACTTACTCAACTCATTGTATTCCCTGACTCACTAAACTCATCTTCCCTGCCCTCTGACTCACTCAATTCATTGTATTCCTTGACTCACTCAACTCATTCTACCCACGCTGTGTGACTCGTGACTCATCCGACTATTATGTTTAGGAATACTTTACACTTTTTTACAATTATACCAGAATTAATTTATATTTAGTGTTGAACGCCCTTTTAGATAGATAGATAGATAGATAGATAGATAGATAGATAGATAGATAGATAGATAGATAGATGGATGGATATCTCACCTAAACTTTCAACCAGGTAAGAGTCTTGATACAGAAATAATGACACATTTTAAGTAGTTTGCCCCCCAAAAAACAAAGTCGTTTTCTACGTTTTCTAAAGCCCCCCCCCCCACAAAAAAAAAATTTAATAATAATAATAAAAAATAAAAATAAATAATAATAAATAAATAAATAAACCAACTAAATAACTAAATAAAACAAAATTGATTATCTGATATACTGGCTTGATCTCTGAAGTCTCTGGACTATCAACACGTCCAGTACTGCTCAGTTAATCCCCTGCCATAATTTACATTCTCACACTAATAATGAAATTAATCCACCGCGTCTGTGGCGAGTTACCGAGTGGATACGAAATCACTTATGAATGGACGGACAAACGGACAGACGAATGGACTTACGGACAGACGAATGGACTTACGGACAGACGAATGGACTTACGGACAGCATTATTATTATATATTATTAAATTTTAGGTCGGTAGGAATACTGAGAGAAAGAAAGTTAACGTCAGCCAACGAGGAACTGCGCTCCGAATACAGTAAAACGAATTAAACTTTCTAACTTCATAAATTTCTGAAAAAAAATGGGGTTTGATGCAAGCTTAGGAAAACGTGGCATCCCTAAAAGTTACATCGAAAAATACCTTAATGTTCTTGAAACACGAGGAGGTGGTCTAGTGCTCCCGAGGTGTGAGGACGTTCCTATGGCATAAGTGTGAGGACGCCCCCACACATCTAAAACGGGAGGAGAGACCCAACTCACCGAAAACATTGGTCTCTGATGTTGAGCTGTGCCAGGATCAACACTGAAAATTTCAAGATCAAATGGTTCTCTGCCCAAAAAGACCTTAATCCTAATCGCCCCTGAGGTTGGAGCCCATAAAAATTGGGATCCATTGGAATTAGTAGTTAGTGGGATTGGGACTCTTTATAACTAAGCTCCAATCCCAATGGTTAGGTTAGGCTGTTACCAATTAGGACTGGGACCTGTTTGGCGAATCAACTGCTGATAGGGAGGACTTGACGCCTCCAAAACATGAAGTACATTAGCAAATAGCCTGTAAACCAGGATAAGCAAGCTAATGAAACCATGACAAAACGGTGAGGATCATTCTATCTCTGTGAAGCAAGAGCTTTTCAGGAGAGGTACGGATGCCTCTCAATTAGGTGAGTGTGATCTCTGAATGGAAGAGGCGAGGCTCTGACGGGAAGATACCCACATAGACGTTGTGAGGGAGGGGGAGGGGGAGACTTTTATATAGACAACGACAGTCGACCACAAAGACGGTGGAAGGATAAGGAGTGGGTCTGACGTCCCCGTGAGCGAGTGGGGGCATCACGTTGACTCATTGTTAAGGGAGGGACACCAACGTCCTCAAAGATGGAGGGGAAAAGCGTAACGTTCCTTTAAAACTGTTGTGGGATGCGAAGGACTGCAGACTTAGCTGATGAATAAAACGATAATCAATGAATATGATAACTTGGACGTACCTGAGATATGGTGTGTTAATGTCCCTCGAACAAGTGTTTTAGCTCACACTTACCTGGAAAAAGAAAAGGAAAATTCTGTTGAGAACACCTGCCGTCTATCTCGCACACACACACACACACTCACACGTCAGTACAATTGTCAAATCCTCTAGTTTTCGTCTCCACCTCCTCCGCCGACTCAAGTCCCTCGGAGTTCCTGCGCCCGAGCTCCTCAGTGCTTACTCAACATTCAAACTTTCCAAGCTCACCTGTGCCTCCCCTGCCTGGTCTTCCTCCCAAAATGACACACAACAGAAACGCCTAGAAAGAGTGCAGAAGAGGGCATGCAAGAATATTCTTTCCCCCTCCTACTCCACATATCAAGAAGCACTCAACACACTGACCCTCTCGGCTCTCTCTGATCATCACCGCGACCTCATCTGCAAATCTGCTGAGAAACTTCTGCATCATCCTCGGCACCGGCTCCTACTTCCACCCGAGATCCCTCGTCCGCGAATTGCTATTCGACACCACAACAGCATCCAGCCTATACGAGCACGTACTTATGGCTATGAGAGCAGCCCAGTCCCAACCATTGTAAAAATTATCAACAACTCGTAGTCAACCAGTGTGTTCACTCCCAACCAATTTTAGCTTTTTGCACTGTTACTATGTTGAAATGCCCTGTAGTATGACCCTCTCCCCACCTAGTTATTATATATCATATTTATATCACTTTTGCTACTTGTATATTATTTGTCAATCAAGTGACCCATTCCCCAATTATGGAACTGCATATTATCAGCCTTCCGGCTGCCATGCTCTTTCAATAAACCATTAATTATTATTATTATTATTATTATTATTATTATTATTATTATTGTTGTTGTTATTATTATTATTACTATTATTACACACACCTATATGATTATTCACACTTAACATACAGGACAAACAAAGGCAAAACCAACGATGTTAAGCATTAGTTTACACCAAATGGATGACTAAGAGAACTTGTTTAGCATGTCAAGAACACAACAGTAGTATTAGTAGTAGTTACCTTGTGCTGGCGGTAGCATCTCCTTGGTGCCATACAGAGTCACCCCCTGGCACCGTCTTGACACTTTAAGAGACCTCATGGCACTTAATGACACCTTGCTCTATTTCATGGGATACTTTCCACTTTGCTATATTTCAAGATGCATTGCAACACTTTAAGACATTAATGACACTTTACGATTCATTGCTTGACTTTAAAGCATTAATGGCACTTTATTGACACTTTATGACATCGATGGCACTTTATGACACTTTGAGAGACTTCACAGCACTTTACGATACGTTTCGACACCGTATGACACGTGTAAAATGCTTGAACACTATAACTATTCGAGACTTTGACACTTTAGGCCACTTTATGACACTATGAAACTATATGACTTTTTACGGCATTTTAGAACACTGCATGACACTTTAAAACACTTAAGGCCACTGACACGTTAGGACACTGACACTTTATGACACTTTGATACTTTAGGACAATTCATGACACTTTAGGGCACTTCGTGACACTTTAGGACACTTCGTGACACTTTGAGACACTTCGTGACACTTTAGAATTCTTCGTGACACTTTAGAACACTTCGCGACACTTTAGAACACTCCATGACACTTAAGAACACTTCGTGACACTTTAGAACACTTCGTGACACTTTAGAACACTTCATGACACTTTAGAACACTTCGTGACACTTTAGAACACTTCGTGATACCTCTAACACTGCATAAAGCTTTTTCATTGTGTACCACATCTTACAACATTACACGACACTTTATCAGACCTACTGGCACTTAAAAGCACTTCATAACACTTTAGGATATTATAGGAATCTTTGTGACATAACTTGACACTTTATGGCACTCTTTAACACATTTTACTACTTTACGACACTTTATATCACTCTTATAACACTTATGGGACGATAGGTGTTGTTGGGACCATAGTTACGTTGTGACATTAGTAAGTCTTCATGACACAACACTTTACAACAATTATAAACACTTAACGTTACTTATGAACACGTTATAATACATGTGATCACTTCACAATACTTACGAAAACTTCACGGCACCTAATAGCACTTTTTGAAATTTAGACCATTTTGAGATAGTGCAAAATCTGCTCTTTCATTTAAGCTCATTATTGTAGGGGTCAACCTATTATCGCCTCCTCTCCAAATGGTCCTAACAGTAGCGGCTACAGCAAGTTCCTTTACTCTATGTTCTATACATGGTAGTTCTAACTCCATTCTCATTATTTCAATTATAGTATTCCGTTGACACCCTAAAACGATTCTCATGGCCTCTTTTTGTATCACTTCAAGCTTTTGAATAACTTTCTTACTATACATTATAAGGATGGGAGCTGTATAGTCAATAACTGAACGTATAGTACTGATATAAATCATCCTTAAAATAGGAATACCTGCGCCATTTCCCCTCCATGCCAAGGCTCTTAAAGGTCTTACACGTCCTTTCCATGCATTCTCCAGGTACTGCATCTCACGTACTTTACTGTTGGACTTATACCCAATGTACAGCCCAAGGTATTTGTAAACATCAAATTTTTCTTCCCATAATCCATTCAAAAATAAATCCCCTTCTTCATAATTTCTGACCTGACATTTAGTTTTTTCATTGTTAATTACAAGGCCCATTCTACATCAAAGTGTACTCAATGGATCTAAAGCTTCTTGCATGTTTCTCATACCTTTACACTGTAAAATTATATCATCAGCAAATATTACAACCTGTGTGTCTCCAGGAAATTCGTAGCGAACCATTATGTCCATCAATATGTTAAAAGGAATGGGGCTAAGTACACCTCCCTGTGGGGTCCCCAACTCCACCTCTCTTCTTCTGAGTACCAACCCTGAAACCATACTCTAGCCATTCTGTTACTCAAGTAATCCACAATCCATTTTAGCAACTTCCCAGAAACCCCTAAATTAATTAGCTCCTCAAGTATGACTTCTTTATTTGCCCTATCAAAGGCCCCTTTTAAGTCTACAAAAGTCCTGCATGTATCCTTCGAGTTATTCAAACACTTTACAACACAGTCTGCAGTACTCCTCCCTTTCATAAAGCCATGTAAATTGAGCACCAAGAGATTTTCCACTTTAAATAACAACCTGTTTAATACTATTCTTTCCATCACTTTACTAAAACAACAGAGGCCCTTCTCTTATACCAGCGAGACAGTTAAAGATATCATATGTTATTCCATCATCACCGGGTGTCGTAGACTTTCCCTTTTTAATCGCATATAATAACTCGCCTCCCGTTATAGGAACATATGTATCATCCCCCATTGTACACTAACTTTGTACTAACTCACTCCTAAGTCTACTCTTACTTTGTAATGAGGCCTGCACACTCTGAGGTAGTTCGGCAAAACTAGCAGTTCCAACCCATTTCTTAAGTTGACTGGCCATGCTCTGTGGGTCGGCGTAGCTGTTGCCCTTGCTTCGAACACCTGGCACTTTATTCACTTCCATGATTATGTCACCCAAGCTCTTGCCTTTAGCAATTCTCCCTAAAAAGTCTGTCCAGTATTTATTACGCGCCTCTTGCTTGATTTCACTACACATTTTTGCAGTTTCTTTCAGTACTTCCTTAATTCCATTATCATTTGGATTTTCACTCCATTATCTTTGCATTATTACCTCCTTAAATCCTGTCGTCAAAAACTTTACCGCTTCACCCCCAGCTAAAGTCAGATAGGAATTATTACGACCTTCCTTAAGCAGGGGTTTAAACTTGTTATGCTCTCTTCCCAGTGCAGCAGCCCACAGCAACCGCTCATAGAATGACATGCGTAAATCACTTGGAAAGTTCAACCTCCTCCTACCTGAGCTGTTTCCACCACTCTGGTTGCTCGTCACATTGGTAATGTCTAGATGATTCATTCGACCAACCTACTGCGTTTTATTACCAGTTGAATTCTTTCTGCTGTCTTCTGTGTGTGTCGTCCTTTTCTACTTGTCATTTATGATCTCATCACTATCACTTCCTTCACTTTTCTTCTCCAACTCTCGCCTCCTTTTTTTTTTCTAATCACCTCTTGAAAACTGTCTGTCACCTTCATTGTTGTTGGTCGTGGATCATCTGCTTCCGATTCGCTACTTGAAAACCGCAGTTCGTCTTCTATGCTGTTCAATAGTGCAATCTTATCTTTTCTAGCCAAAACCTTCACAACTTTCTGCCCACCACTTGCCCCAGGCATCGTGCAAAGCTTAGGCAGCCAGTGAAAATCAACAGTATTGTCGCAGACTCGCAGAGTACAAGGCTGACACGTCCGACCAGTACGGCCAGCGTTCAGAGAATCAGGCCTCTGTTGACGGGCAAGGGGTTACCTAATTGAGGTGTATAAGCATCTCAGGGGGCACTACTCAGTTGAGTGTCCTTACCTGGAGCTGGCGGACGCTCGCCCCACAAAAAACCGCGAAACTCGGCAGACTCAAGACTTGAGCGAATCAGCCAAACCTCGTAACAATTACTACAACGGACTGAGTTTGACTGTGGTTGACTCGTTCGTCTCTCCACACGTGTAGCTCTAGAGAACTTTGTCTTTATCTGTTGTAATTATAAAGTATAAGGTAAATATATTACACAAGATCATATGTCAATATTTTAGTTTGTATTATGGCTCATTTTCTATGATTGAGTCTGATGTATCGAAAACAGATCAGAGCTGTTCCTAAACCCTTGAAACACTCATCGATGGCTTGAAGTGTTGTCAGTCAACTGGTGCCAAAAAGTATCCAGAATTGTTTATATTGTTTATTCCACTTTATTTGTTTATTAAAACAAACAATTGTAACAAACGGGAATTAAATAGAAAATAAGACTCACCAAACCTCCTTTACCAAACTTATCTAACCTACCTAGCTCAACTTAACTTAGCCTAACCTAACTTCCCTTACCATACTCACCTAACTTAACGATCTTGGAATATATGAAAGAAGTTAAATTAAGGAATACAATATACTGTAGGTTAAGTTGAATAATAATTTTGCTTGTTATTAAAGAAGCACGTGATACTACTGCCCCCTACATGAGATAGTTTAACAGTGTCTAACAGTTCAAATTTGCGTCCGTCTGTTCAAACTGCGTGTCTGTTTTGTCTTTTAAACAGCGCAAGCGTATTAATGGACGAGGGTGGGCCGCGTTGCTTGCCACACCGACACGTCATGTTCCTCAAAACTCACAAGTGTGCCTCCACCACCGTCCAGGTATGTTTATGCGGTATATATACTGTATATACTTGTAGTACTTGGGTGTTGTGTGCTTTAATTCTCATATATAACCTTTATAATTACTCCTTGCCCTTAACCAATCACACACCAGCTTATTGAATATCATCAACCAATCACACATCAGCTTATTGGATACCATCACCGATCACACACCATCTAATACTGTATATCCCTGAAGTTCTGTGATCATTTTACTCTACTCTGGTATCCTACAAATGTTATCACTATACTCATTAATCTCATAACAGAGGTAAATATCACTAATCTCATCAAAACGAACATATTATTCATAATAGTTCCACCCTTTGGTAAACGTGTGCCTTCAAAACAATGCTATATGCACCTTGAATATTCTCTTAGTATTAGCTATATACATACTTAAGGTTACATGCACGGACGATGGTATAATGAGTGCAGGTACAAATATTCAAATATACGCGTTACCCCTTAAACCTGGCAGTTCTCTGTGACGCGCTTCACAGTAGAATAGAAAAACCTAGATATTATACTGTACATCACATTTTAAGACTTTTTTTTTTAATGCAGCTGCAGGGGCGGATCCAGGGGGTCCTGGGGTCCGGACCCTCCCTTTTCATAACAAAAATCCAATACTTTTTCTTTAATGCAGTATTGTACTCAGGCGTTATTGTATAGTAGTAAAATGTCATTGCTATTGACTTCAAAATATTTCCTAATATCAAGTGCACATGGCTTCAAAGTGGCCTTATAGTGCTCTTGATATTGATCAGATTTAAAAAAAAATCTGGGGGGTAGGGGGGGGGGGTGTTTACAGTGCCCTCCTAAACCACCCAGCTGGGTGGGCTCGCTTTGCTCGCCCTGTTTCCCATCCACAACTTCTTGCCCCCCCTCCCTTTGATATTCCTGGATCCGTCCCTGACCTGTCGTAACAATTATTATAGAGATGATAGGTAACCAGTGCTATCCCGTAGCATAGTGATAGGCACGACTTTTTGTGGTAAAATATTGTATTCTGTTTTCATTAGATTAAAATTTACAGAATTTCTCTTTTTTCCGAATCTTTACTAACCAACAGTGACACACTCGTAAAAGTCCTCCTATCTTACATACGTAACTCCTCCACCTGTCCCTCCCACTTGTGTTAGCAGCTTTCGTCTGCTCCCTGACCTCTGCACTTAAGGATTTCGCTACTCTGGCGTATCATTAACTCCTGTTCAAGAACATCTTTCTGCTATTTAGCCATACATTCCTAGCCTCTCCTTCACCCACAGTACATCTTCCAACGATATGGCTACTGTCAGATTTTTTTTAATAGTGATCTACGCCGGAATAAAATATTGGTGAAACGACTGCGACCTCATACAAATACACAAGGTAAAAAGATGAGGCTCGACTCTACCGCAGTTCTAAATAATTTCACCACTGCAACACTATCAAATTTTCTGAAGATTAAAATACACTTTCTATATAACTATTAAACGAGAGTAGTCTATGTACTAATTCAATGGAAAACCCTTAGTACACATAGCCTCATAATTTATCCGTGTTACTAACCTTTTTACTGTATATCGGTTAATCTCTGTTATACCGTAAGGATGTTTTACACTACCCGAAATGTTAGCGCCAAGACAATGATCCCAACTAAATTGTTCTTACAGATTATCACAGGAGACCATATTAAGTCGGGATTAGATAGCTTAAAAATCTACCCATACAATAACACAAATGATCCCCGGTTGGTATATTTTCACTCCATCACCGTTTCGGATGACCGGTTTGCTGATATTCTTCTCCTGTGGTTCATGCACAGAATAAATAAATTATTGTAGATACAGAATTTGTATGTTTGAAGAACATGGACCATTTAATATTCATAAGTTGTAGTCGGCACCTCAATTGACTGGTGACGTGATGCGATTTTCTGCAGGGCGTCACAGAGTCGTGTCTTTCGTCACGCGACCCATTTTGCTCGGGAAAATCTCATCTTATTATGGTTCTAGCCAGAACTAAAGCTATAAGTATTTATATCAAGTAATTTTGCTAATTTACTATGAGGTAGTTTTCTATTAACTTTGAGAAAATAAACAAATGTTAGTTTAGGGGATAGATTTTTCCACATTACGAGGAAAATATAGTTTCTGAATTATTCGTAACTCGAGCGGGTTGTTTAAATTCACTTCTTTTGTCAACTCACCCGAGTTATTAGGTGCATAATCATTCAAGCTACTTAATGATCTAGTTCTTTTTAAAATTAACATTTATAGGTATATTTTACTTGATTCTACTTAATTATATCTATATTCACCGCATTACTTTTCCTGACAGCTACATTATTAACTTCTTCATCCACAGTCCACTGAACATCTATATTCCTGTGATATAGCTACATTCTTAACCTCTCATTCGTCCACAGAACATCTTCCTGCGGTATGGATACACTCATAATCTTACCTTCGCGCTGCCATCTGTGGGCAACTACTTAGGCAATCCTAGACTCTTCAAGGTGAGTTAACTTATTGGTACTATTCTGTCAATACTTATTGATATTGATATTGAAACAGATTATTTAGCCAGAAAAGAACAGATACAGAGTCGATAATAATAACAATATTAACATGGCTGAGCCAGTTGAGAGCCTGAGCTCTCTTGAAGGCACCTGATATATAGTATCATCTCGAATAGTACACATAACATGGTGGAAGTAAGAACATATCAGAATGTTACCACGGTTATCACTTCGTTAGTTTTTATTTTTTTTTTTTTTACATTTATAAATATACTAGCGGAATCGCCGCCCTCCGGGCGGCTCTTTCGCTAGGTTCAAGATTTCTTAAGAGCATTATAGGAGTTTCAATCTTGAGAGTGAGGTGGTGAGGAGGCATTCCAGCCGGCTCCAAAGAATTAAGGAATTCTGCATGGTACTGGACTGCTTGGTCCTGGTCGATTACTGTATCAACAGATTTGAATGAGGTCTCACTGCCTGGAAGCTGTCTGAGTAGTCATGTTGATTTCAGCCACTGTTTCATTCTTTGGTGCCAGAATTGCTCGTTCACGCAGCCACTTTATAAATGCAACCAATTGTGTTGTTGGGGGAGTTCTTGATTAACATTTGTTTAACAGTGCATGAGTTTTTAAATGCCACATTGACGTTCCAAGCCCACCCATGACCATAAGAATATCTTAATATTACCATTTCACAAAAATTTCTCACACTTCCTTTACAACTAAAAACCTGGAATGTCAATGTGGCATTTAAAAACTCATGCACTGTTAAACAAATGCTAATCAAGAACTCTCCCAACAACACAATTGGTTGCATTTATAAAGTTCCTTGCAAGGAATGTAATGTTTTACTTAGGCCAGACAGGTAAAGATCTTGTAACTAGAATTAAACAACATAAATATAGTGTTAGGACAGGCCAGGAATCCAATGCTCTGTTTGTTCATTTGAGGGATAACAAGCATTGCATTGACTGGGAAAATGCCTCCTCAATATTTACCTTGTAATTCAATTGATAGTAGGAACATCATAGAATCTAGTCTCATTAAACATACCGAAGCATTCAACATGAATTTGAGTAATGGCATGTACAAACTGGACAATTTTGTAATTAAGAAGATTTGTAACCAGGTGAGAAGGTTGGGTCACCTTACCCTCTAACCTGACTACGGACCGTTGCCGTGCTATTTAAGAATTAGTAGGGTCATTACCTAATACCTGACCATTGTGGACTTGGTCTCACCCTCCTCTGTATATAGTATACACCTTGTTTTGTACTCCTCTTTTGTATATATATATATATATATATATATATATATATATATATATACAGTGGGGTATGCTATAACGAACGTAATTGGTTCCAGAACCTCGTTCGTTATAGCATTCGTTCGTTATAGGATTAATCCGTTCCAGGCCCCCAAATACAACCACTTAACACTGAAAAAATTCTGTGGAAAATGTAAAAAATACGGTACTTTATCTTACCTTAGTGTTATTCAGCATGCAGGTACCCCTAAACACTGGCACATCACTATCACTTCCACTGGGAGTCTTGGCTTTAAGGTCCTCAAACAATTGTTTAGCCTTCTCACAAATTATAGCTTCACTAATGTTACCACCTGCCATTTCTTTCTCCTTTATCCACACTAAGAGTAAATTTTCCATCTCTTCAATCACATTACACTTTGCTTTGCTAAGTCTAAAGATTCCCTTAGCCACTTGCACAGTTTTTAACTCCTCTTTATTCTTCAAAATCGTACATATAGTCGATTTAGCCATCCCATATTCATCACTAAGTTTCGCAATGCTTCTTCCATTCTCACGTTTCTTTATAATTTCTTTCTTAGTTTCAAGGGTTATTAGCTTTCTCACTCGCTTTGGACGACTCATTGTTACAATTGTATACTTGTATAACAAAATAGTTATACAAATAACGCGAATTTCCACATCAAAAGACGAAATTTCAACAATAACAGTGGTGCACTGGCTACACAATGAGACAAAGATGGCGCCTGACGCTCTTGTTGTGGGTCGCGGTACAACAATATTCATGCGCCAGGCGAAATAGTCCCGTATTCATCCGCGTTCGTTGTAGGAGTTGCGTTCGTTATAGCATTCTCAATTTTATAGGTAAAACCGTTCGTTATAGGAATATTCGTAGTAGGATCCGTTCGTTATAGCATACCCCACTGTATATATATATATATATATATATATATATATATATATATATATATATATATATATATATATATATATATATATATATATATATATATATATATATATATATATATATATATATATATATATATATATATATATATCATGTAAATCCACAATGAAAACGTGGATAAGATAAATCTTGATAAAATCACACGGGAAAATGTCTTCTGAAGATGTCTTGAATAAAGACGAAAGCTAAGGTACTCCGTTGTTTCCATTTTCCGTGTGATTTTATCAAGATATATATATATTATATATATATATATATATATATATATATATATATATATATATATATATATATATATATATATATATATATATATATATATATATATATATATATATATATATATATATATATATATATATATATATATATATATATATATATATAGAGAGAGAGAGAGAGAGAGAGAGAGAGAGAGAGAGAGAGAGAGAGAGTATATGTTATGATTATTTGTGGAATCGGTTGTTTTGCAAAATGACCGGCAAGCATTTTGGTAATTTTGCAAAATAACTTTATAAACAGACAGCACATACAGTAGTCTAAAGCTAAAAAAAAAAAGAACAGGACCATTTAACTGTGTATCAGATTATACACGAGCCATCCTGACCTAACCTAACCTAACCTTTTTCAACTATAAGGTTAGGTTAGGTTAGGTTATCTGTTTATAAGTAGTTATCAAAGCTACCGATATGCATTCCATTCATTTTGCAAAATAGCCAATTCTGCAAAAAAACGAAACATAATGTTTATATACTTAATTGTATTTGTCTTGTAATTTTAACCATTATCTTCTTAGTCATCTGAGATATTCCCAACAGCACCAGTTATAAAATTTGGCATTTCCTCATCTTCTATTATAGTACTGTACTGTACTTCCAGTCTAAATTAAATTGTAAGTGAGGAATAATTTTAGAATGTTAAAATACAATGATTTTATTTTCGCAGGCTGACATGATACCAAACAAGCTGTTGCCACTTCACGGGGTAGTAGATTTGTTTGCTGTCCATTCCCGCCTCAACCCGCCTGAGCACAAACGTATCCTATACAACGATACACGTTGGATTACCATTGTGCGGGAACCAGCTACACTCTATGAGAGCCTCTTCAACTTCTTCCATATGAAAAATGGTTATGGATTTGACCTGTCACAGTTCAGTACACGACCTATGTTGGTAAGCCCATGAAAAGCATATACTCGTAAATACAAATTGTTTGTCTATGAACCTGAAGATATCTGTGCTACGAGATGTTTTTTCATACATTCAGAAGAGTAGCCACTGTGTGACTATACATTGGACCTTACCATCCATTGTGTTAGAGACCAAATTGTCGGCAGTTACAAAAGTTGGTGGATATAGAACTATCAACAAGTTTAAACAAGTTGACTTCTCAGACTCAGGATATCTCATCCAGGGGGTCACAGACAGTCCAGCAGGCAGAGAGGTGATCAATGATGACGATGAAAAATAGAAAATAATCATCACACGCTCATACTCACTTTAATGGATCACTTGGTAAAGATTCGGAAAAGCTCAACCACGAAACTCTATATTGACTTGTATATAAGGAATTATAGCATAAAAAATAAGAACACTGTTACGGCTCCCTTTTCGCCGCTTCCCAGCATCCACCGCTGGCTACCAGCAGCCAGGTAATATAATATAAAGACGCAGTTGACCTATCACAAGTGTCGAATTACCACTGGCTGTCCGTCATTCTCCTGTAATTTCCCGAGAATCGGTAACAGTGTACTGACAAACAACAGGCAGGTAGACTTCCACCAGGTCACAGAAACACACCTGTGCACTGTAGTCCTCTTTGATAATTACTAGATCTTCACAAATCTGCTCACAAGTTATATCTTCACAACGTTACTGGGCTTCTCACTCCGAATATATGCAGTCAGCACAGTACCAGTGTACAATTCCTTAGTCTTTTAACTTTATATTGCTCACGACAATTCCACAACACTTGCACAACAATTGTCTTCTGCTGTCACTAGTATTGTACTTCGACTCTGCAGAAACGATCGATTGACCCTTCCTCCCCATCCTAGACAGTTCGCTGCCGCTGCTCGTCGGAACGAGAACATAAGAACATAAGAATGGAGGAAACTGCAGCGGGCCTATTGGCACATACTGGGCAGTCCCCTTTACACCCAACCCCTATTGCTCATATAAGCATCCAACCTATGTTTGAAGCTATTCAGCGTATTCGAGTTATGATGATATTTGGTAACTGTTCCATTCATCCACTACTCTGTTTCCAAACCAGTGTTTACCTATTTCACGCCTAAATCTAAATTTGTCTTATTTAAAACCATTGTTACGAGTTTGCTCCTGGTTGGATAGTTTGAGTACCTTTGTAATGTCCCCTTTGTTTAGCCCTGACTTCCACTTATACACCTCTATCAGGTCGCCCCTCTCTCTGCGTCTCTCGAGGGAGTGCAAATTAAGATGCTTTAACCTGTCTTTATACTCAAGGTTCCTAATGCCCGGGATTAGTCTTGTCATTCTCCTCTGAATTCTTTCCAAGGATTCTATATCCATTCTGTAATACGGTGACCAGAACTCAACTGTGTAATCCATGTGTGGTCTCACAAGCACAATATACAGTTTTAGGATGACCTCGCTAGTCTTGTAACTAACACTCCTTTGTATGAACCCAAGTACTTTATTAGCCTTGTTACGAGCAAAAACACATTGTTTACTTGGCTTAAGGTTCCTACTTATCATTACTCCTAAATCTCTCTCGCAGTCGGATTTATCCATGGCATCGTTGATCATCTGGTATCTGGTTTCCCTGTTTGCATCTCCTATACTGAGTACTTTACATTTGTCCACGTTGAATTTCATCTGCCACTTTTCAGACCATTCTAAAAATTTGTTTAGATCTTCCTGTAGTTTTGCTGAGTCCTCGTCAGATTTAATAACACGTCCTATTTTAGTGTCATCAGCAAATTTACTTATGTTGCTGTCTATGCCGATATCTATGTCGTTTATGTATATAATAAATAATAATGGCCCAAGTACTGAGCCTTGGGGAACTCCACTTGTGACGTTGCTCCAATGGTACTGTATGTCTGGAAAGCTCTAGAATGATCTAGGCCTACAATACGTAGGTAAATCGTCACAAAAATAATGAAATACTTTCTAGAAAATTCTTACGTGGGTAATACATCAATAAATACAAGAAAATCTCTCAAAACGTGCCCAAATAACTGCTGCTTGAAATAGAATATAATCAGAACACCTAGTTCACAAAAATTATAAAACTTAATTATGCCTCGGCATACCAAGACTTTACTCTATAGCGTTTTTGTTGGAAATATTTATATATATATATATATATATATATATATATATATATATATATATATATATATATATATATATATATATATATATATATATATATTATTTTTTTTTCGATTTCACTCAAGAATGCAATTTTTATCACACAAAATGGGCAGGGGTTTGAAATAGAGGGAAATTGTGTGGTAAAGGCACTCAAAAAAAGACGAAACCAAAATTAACGAAACCTAGATAAATCTACTGAAACCTTACCTAATCTAACCACTACAGAAAACTTTATAGAGTATAATATTTACGAACAGGTGTCCGGGCTAAGGAGCTGAGTTTGGAAACATTTGAATATAAAAAAATCTGCAGTTATCAAAAACATTCAAAAATGGTGGAGGAGGTACATTTTTTCCAAACAAAAAGATCAAGAAACTAACCTAACGACTCCCAAATATCCAGTGTACATGTCTAACATAACCTAATCAGAGAAACCAGGAGGACCTGACCTAACCTCCTATCCAGGGGGCTCTATCCTCTGGACCCCCACCTTGTGCGTACACCTAAGGTAACCCAACAAGACAAAGGAAAAGCCTAAGGAACCCAAAGTGCCAAACCTGAAATCGAAACATAAGAGAAACTCGAAATATATAAATTCCCGACGAAAACGCTGTAAGGTGTTCTTTTTTTATTTATCTGCCTCCCTATAATACAAATCAATATACTGTACAAGTAGAGTTCCGTGCTTGACCTTTTCTGTATCTTAAACAATTACTTTATATCAAGTTTTATCACAGTCTTCGTATATTTTATTCGATGCATAAGTTTGAATATACTGTACAGTATACAATGTACAGTATAAATACAGTTTCTGGAGGGACTGTGGCTTCCTTGCCTCCCTCTGTATCTGTCAGTTGTTCAGGCGTATGTGCAGTCGGTGGATCCAGGAATATCAAAAAGGGGGTCCAAGAAGTTGTGGATGGGGGAACATGGCGAGCACAACGAACGCACCCAGCTGTTTTTTTTGTTTTTTTAATCTGACCAATATCAAGGGCATTTCGAGGCCACTTTTAAGCCATGTGCATATGATATTAGGAGATATTCTGTGGTCAATAGTAATTACTTTTTACTAAACAAAAACGACTGAGTACAATACTGCATTAAAGAAAAGTATTGGAATTTTATAATGAAAAGGAGGGTTCCGGACCCCCACGACCCCCTGGATCCGCCCCTGACAGTATGTTATAGAGTACCGATATGATAAAAATAAACTGCAGTAACTATAAGGGTAATACTGAAACAGTCTTTTGGCATCTTATTACCAGGAATTTTGTGGTGAAAATTATAGGCAGTGTGTATATTGAGGACGTTTGGAGGTATCCAGTGATGGATTATTGGCTAGCTAAGTGAGTGTGTTAATTTCCCATACTAAGAGCAGAATAACTTTGTTTTAACAATTGGCGGCTGTCAGATAACACCATTAATCATTTAGGTAATACTAACCAAACCTTACTTACCAAATTGAAAATAGCAATCATAGATTATTTATAACCTATATGTCAGGATGGAGCAACCTATAAATTGGACGGTATCCTTCACATGCTTTATGTCGGTGTCCTGAAAGTTATCCATTTGGTAATTATGTGCCCCCATTATATTTCTTGACTTCAGTTACAAAAATACTCATGCCTGCCCAAGCCACTTCAGATCTCAGTCATCCTGAATGGAGTAGACAGCTAAGTGTTCTCTGTAGTACAAGACACTTACTGTACTGTATGTTAGATATCAAATATTTCTTAGAATATGACTGTCAAAGAAAATAGTTTGTACTTTGCGATGGGATGAAGAAACTAAAGTGTTTCTTCAATGTTTTAAAAAATTAATGTAACCTTTATTATTATATTTGAGACACACACACACACACATATATATATATATATATATATATATATATATATATATATATATATATATATATATATATATATATATATATATATATATATATATATATATATATATCTTGATAAAAACACGGAAAATGGAAAAACAGAGTACCTTAGCTTTATGTATGTACGGTATATATATATATATATATATATATATATATATATATATATATATATATATATATATATATATACTGTATATATATATATATATCTTGATAAAATCACACGGGAAAAGGGAAACAACGGAACACCTTAGCTTTCGTCTTTATTCAAGGCATCTTCAGTTGCCTCTGAAGATGCCTTGAATAAAGACGAAAGCTAAGGTGCTCCGTTGTTTCCCTTTTCCCGTGTGATTTTATCAATATATCACCTTTTCATTTATTGGATCTGCATGGAAAAAAAAATATATATATATATATATATATATATATATATATATATATATATATATATATATATATATATATATATATATATATATATATATATATATATATATATATATATATATATATATATATATTTTCATATGTACAAGGCACTTATTTATTTATTTCTCATTTTTGTTATTTTTCAACTATATATATATATATATATATATATATATATATATATATATATATATATATATATATATATATATATATATATATATATATATATATATGTATATTTATTTATTCACTTATTTATTTATTTATTTATTATTTTTCAACTATTACTGTATAAGTGTTGTAGACACCCTGCATAACCATCTCGACGACCAGAAATACAGGGTGTCCATAAATGATTACCCTGATTAAAACGAGAGCATACCGTTTTTAGGGTAATCATTCATGGACATCCTGTAGTTTCCTTGTCAGGTTATTCATGTCTTTGCCCCGCTCCTGTTTTACAGAATAGGTTATATTAGAAGGTGTAGCTATACTTCTATCAACTCGATTTATAACTTTTGGATTATTTTGTTGTTTGATAAATATTTTTTTTTTCAGGAGTTGGAATCCCTCCCTAGATATGGAGGAAAATTGGGGAAAAATCAAATGCTGTTTGACTTGGGCTACTCCGATAATATGTCTGTAACTGAACTGAGGAGCGCCATTGAACAGCTGGATAAACGTTTTGATTTGGTGATGATATCTGAATATATGGATGAGTCACTTGTACTCCTGCGGCACCTCTTATGCTGGAGTCTTCACGATGTGGTTGTTTTTGCAAAAAATGCACGTCGTCAGGAAGTGAAACCCACACTGGAGCCTCGAACACTACAAGCACTTCGGGAACTGAACAGTGCAGATGTGTTGCTTTACAATCATTTCGTAGCTAAACACCGCCGTTCTGTTTATGAGTTTGGAGTTCAGAGAATGGCAAATGAGGTATCAGCACTGCGTAGCCTCCGTGACGAATACTATGAAGTCTGTGGAGCACGTGAAGTAAAGGGTCGAGACTCTTCTCTGAAGTTCAAAGAGTACTCAGGGTTGGTCAGTGGTTATGTTACAGCCAATAATTCGGACCAAAACTGCCTGATGCTTTCCATGCCTGAACTTCCACTAGTAGACACTATTAGACGACGTCAAAAAGTATTGCTTAATGTGGATGGGTTGTCCTAGTAGCAGGTCAGATTTATATGTCAGTTCATTCCATTGTTATAATCATAAAACAAGTAAATCTAAGACATGACATTAATGACTGATTTATTAGAAGGTCAAAATGCAAAAGATCTTCCTCTATTTCTTCCTGCACGTGGCTTCCATTTCTGCATATCACAAGAAATCTATTTTTGTATTGATCTTAAGATAATGTTTAAGATATAATTGTGTCTGCTGTCCTATGTGTCAGCAAATAGCACCCAAGTGCCTCCTATTTGTTGTGTACACAAGGCTCTCAGAGTGTCATAATTTATGTAGTTTATCCACAAGAGAAGTGAAATGAGTTCAGTAGTACAGTATTGATACTTTTATACGCCAAATTTTTTTTGAAAAGTAAACATTTTGCTCTTTTCTGTTCATATTCTTACAGAGTGTTGTTATTGGGTTTATGTAGAACTGTTATGGTAAAGATTTGCTAATAATCAGTACGTTCACACTACTACCACCCATTCTCCCTCACACACACACATCCCTCTCAGTGTTCTCTTACCTTATAGTCCTGTTATTCCAAACTCTCTTCCTCTGTTTCTCACCTTGTTTGTGCTTCTTTCATTTCCTTTCATCCCTCTTTCTCATTGTTATCTACTCTCTTTTTCACCCATGTGTCCGTACCTATATAGCACTTAAGAATTTACAACTCCACATAAAGGAGAAATGTAATTAATAGTATATAATATAAACTATTGATTACATTTCTCCTTTACTAACACCTCCAGTCATCAGATGAAGGATTATCACACCCACAAAATTTATGAAAAACTTTGCAACAGTAAGGAAAGACTGACTGACTCAGGGATCTGTCAACCAGTATTATTTCACTTGTTACTTCTTTATGTCCTAAGAGATCTGTACCTCTAAATAACACCCAGGAAGAATGCACTTATTTTTCACACAGACAAAATTAGATAATGATTTTTCTCACCCAGTCAAACCAGGGTTGAAGACTCACTCCCATTTGATCCTGTGGATGTTTCACTTAAGGGGATCACCCTGCTGCGAATGATCCAAAAATTATGAAAAATCGGATCAACAGACTAGAATGTACCCCGGGTCAGTACTGAATCTGAGTGGGGCGCTCAATCCCTTGACTTATAGGTCAGGCGGTTACGCGCTCCACTTGAGGTACATTGCCAGCCTGGGATCTTTTTCAGACAATAACTTGGAAATAAACGATTGGAATTTGGTATCCCATTTTATGACTTGGGGAGGGACAAGTAGCCTAATCCCCCTCCCCCCTCCCGCCTCCCCTCTTGGGTGTAATTAGAAATTGGCAGGAACCGAAAGGGCAAGAGTGTCAATAATCCTTTTAAGCAAATGAAGTTTAAATTGCATAAATACACATACAGTAAGCGTTTCATTTGCTGACCTGAAGCTTCATTAGTCTTTGAGACAACCACCAGATCAAATGTGATAATTTTTGTACTTTGGCTTAACTGAGTGAAAAATGCTGTTTATAAATAAATACCTGTGCATATTGCCAGACAAGGTCATTCGGTAATGGTCACCTGCCAAGTGTTAATTCAACATTATGGATTTCACATGTCACTCTTTTATTCTGTTTGGCCATAACACGAGATTTCATAATTCAGTCATTATATTTTTATCAACTTTGTCTCTCTGTCTTGATCATGTCTCTCCATAGTTTGTTCAGTACTATGGTGTATTAAAGCATGGGTTGTGACTTCCTTAACCCCTTCACTTCGGGACGCCACTTTTAATATTTTGTTTGGCTAACACCAGATGATTTTTATTCGGCACAAGTGGTTAATAAATATAAAAAAATGTGATCATAGATCTTTAAGCCTGGCGTCCCTCAGAGAATGGAAGGTGGAATAAAGGATATTAACCTTCAAGCGGCGATCATTTTAGAATATACATTAGTGGAATATTGAGACCATTGATACAAACAGTATTTTTCATTCGTACAAGAGGGCGGCCAGAAACTGGAACAAAAATAAACTTTCCCTTCATACTATGTCATACATGTTTTCTTACTATTGTAACAGGTGTGTTCTGGTAGAACAATGACCATGTTGTGGTTTATCCCTTTTGCTTCACACAACCCAGAACCACCAGAACATCCTTCTCCAGACACTACGTGATGTCGTGTCCTCTGCTTACCAGTTTTTCATTTCGCTTTTGTTTTCCCCTCTCCTTCCTATTGTCCACCTCTGAATATTCACCCCCATTCTCTCTACATCTCAGTCACGACCTAGAGCCAACTTGTGTGTGACCCTCACTCCCAGAGTTGGTGAACTTTGGTTATTTCTCTGGTCATTGCTTTCACGCGTGTCACTTCTGTTACTTCTAGCTTGTACTCCATCCTTCATACCAGTACAGTGCAGTAATGTTGGCTCGATAGTTTCTTTGTACATTCCCATCTTTGCCTCCTTTGATTTAATTCTTGCAATTCATTCATTTCCCAAGGCACCTATTATTCTTACCTTCTTCTAATCTGTCATTCACTTCATCACTTATTTATCCACTTGCTGACACATCAGTCACAAAAACTCCTACTTTTTTCATTATATCTTCATTCTCTTTATCTGTTTCTCTACCTATTTCCATCACTTTTGTCTATGTTCACAGTAAAAATAGAGTACATAATATTACAAACTCATTCAGTAACATATGTAACTTTCCTTTTGAATCTCCCACATTAGCTACCGACATACCTCACATCTGGTTACTATATCTATATTTACCAAACGTGTACCACTCTCATGCTTTCACCCCGTCTTAACAGAATACACCCATGATGTAGTCTTACTGTCATTGAAAACCAGTCTTCCTTTCCTGACACAGTTAATGCATACACCAATGTCCGTCTAAAAACTGTAGTAGACATTTAGCCGTTTCCCACTTATTCCATGCATGTTCAATACCTCCCATAACACATTTTTATTAAACCGTTTATGTACTTTTTTTCAGATCCATAAACGCCACAAACAAATTCTTTCCCTTCTCCATAAACTTTTTTATCAAGTCCTAAGTTTCTTCATGCCAAAACTTGATCAAAACATTCACTACTTCTGCTCCAACACTGTCACACTCTGGTAAGTAATAATAATAAAAAAACTTAGGACCAAGACTGGGGTAAATATAAATAAAAGTAAAATTTATACATTAACTATATTAAAGTTAAACAAGTAAATAATCATTAAACTTAAAAGGTCTTCTGCCGATATCCTCCTTCAGTCTGCCACACACTTCTCAGCCGGAGTATCTCACTTCTCCGGGAATAATACTACTTGCCTGACTCACCGTAATTGTCTTGCCTTGGCCAACCCACACTTTGGTCTTCGGGATTCCTCCTGAATCGTCTTCCAAATAAGTCCCTCTGTAGACCGAGACGTCAGATAATAAATACACTTGTAGGCTCGTCCTTGCAGTTGTTTCCTTTGCAACAACTCTCCATGAAGTTCCAAGCAGGTCTTTGAAGGTAGTGTGCAGATGAACAAGTACCAGGCAGGGAGGGTGAAGACAGCGGACAAAACTGAACACCGGGTCCTGGCCTTCCTCACGGAACCTCAAGGCGGGTGGAGCAAATTAATCATTACCCAATGACAAGGAGTATTATGGTGGAGTATTGTGTGACTATGTGAACAGTAGTTAACCATCGTAATGGCAGTGGGGATAGTTTTCAACATTTAATTAGTTACTCGCACCTATTACTAAACTTTGATTATATAATTTACCATTAATAAAGTATTATATAAACTGGAACTTCATATTAAATGATAACCAAAGGTATTGACATTAACTGTTAGGTATTGTTAGATAGATATTAAGTGAATTAAATCTACAGACTTGTCATTGCTTTCCTTCTTATGTCGAACTTAAGATATTTGAAGTAACGAATTTTATAACTACAGTATATACACTTAAGACAATCAAAATAGTGATCTATCTATTGTTATATGAATTTTACTTTAATTTCTCAGGAGAATTATTAATAGCGGCGACATCCAAAGCTTTCAGCCATCTTTACGAGACACACACACTAGTGTTTACAACAGCCCTCTCAATAAACGAGTCTACCAGACACTTTCTCAGGTTTATTTATAGCTCTTAGATTTATTCTTAGAAATTTTCCTTTATACTGTACAGGGGACTGATACAATATCTCTGTCATTCCTTTAGTATGCTTCCTCTTGTCACCCAACCTATAAACTTGTCATCCACTCCACCACTCTACTCTTCTCATCCCTAATATTACCACAGTAATTTCATCCACTACTAGTGCCTTATTATTATTAAGCTTACATACAGCTTCTCTCATCCCCTCCTCACTTATTATTTTTTCTTGTTTTATTTAAATGCTTTTCATTCCTCCACTCCTAAACAGGGTACTGTAGTTCTGCTTACCTTTCCATGTGAACATGACAATCGTTGCGGCATGTGAACATGACAATCGTTGCGGGCGGGCGGGTCGTGTTGCGTCTCTGTAACAAAGCGTGTTCGGCATCCGGGCCTTCGATGTAGAGCGGCAGAAATTGGACAGTGATTACATAAGTTCGTCAAGATCGTCTTAGTGAGGTGAAAGTGTAAATCGATGTCGGACTTTTCATGCTAGACACGATTGTATTTTTGAAAACTCAATTTCCACCGAGTTGGAGGTACAGCCAGGGTCACAGGCCTATAACCACACAATCACTGCCACATGACAAAGCTTTTATTTTATTTTATTTTTTAGGGTGTTGTGGTCACGGCTGTGATAAAGGCCAACCAGGGAGTGTAGTACTGTGCCTTCAGTTAAATCAGTTCATAGTTGTCATCAGTGAATGCAGAAGAGACTATAATAACTTAAAGTGAATACATATTGGCAATCGAGCTGGTAAGGACAACTGCCAGCCTATTCGTGTCATAGGTGCCACAGAGACTTTAAATTTTATTTTGTTTGTGTGCTTGCTCAAGGACTGAATCTGTGTTTATAATACACCACTCACAGGGAGATACAGTGTACACAGTGATAGTTCATAGTGTCATCAGTGACCGCTGAAGTTGTAAATAACTTAAAGTGAGCGCTCACTAGCAAGCAAGCTGGAAAGGCACCGTGCCAGCTGAAACCAAGTCGTGTCATAGGTGCCACAGAGACTTTAAATTTTATTTTATGTTGATTGTGTGCTTGCTCAAGGACTGAAACTGTGCCTACAATACACCATTCACAGGGAGATACAGTGTACGCAGTCGCAGACGACAACTCCATAGGCAACAGAGAGTAGCTAAGTACTTTTTTCTCTCTTTATTTTCTTTGAAATAGGTGTAGATCTATACACAGTCTGCACCCCCCCCCCCCACAACAACAACAACCATGAGTTTGGTATGTGATTACTGCAGGGAGACGTCGGATATGGAGGATGCAGGCCTAACTAATGCAACGTTTAGGAAGTTACTAACTGCCGTAAAGCTTGATGGCTGTTGCTGGTATTGCCCTGGCTGCATAGTCAAGGTGAATGAAGCGATTGCAATCCATAAGGGAACGAGTTCTCTAGGGACGAAAATAGATGAAGCAGGAGCCCTGCTGGTTGACAAACTGGAGCAAGTTGAGAAAGAGATCCTTGCTAAGACTGAGGAAGTAGCTAATAGAATGGAGGTGGTTGCTAAGAGGAGCTATGCGGACGTATTAGGAGGGCCACGGGTGGGGGGGGCGGAGAGTAATGCAGAATCAGTACAGGTTCTACAGCAGATTGGGACTCTGAAAAAGTGTGTCGAAGAAATGAAAATTAACGGACCTACTGTTTGGGGAGAGGAGGAACACCAGGAACGGCTCCAGCGCAGGAACAATGTAATAGTTTTTGGAGTCCCAGAGAGCCAGGCGGAGGGAACTGTGAGTAAGGAAACACACGACAAGGTGCTGTTTCAAAATATTTGCACAGAGGTTCTGAAGATTCCAGCAACCCCTCAGGATGTGAGGAGACTGGGACAAAAGCAGGGGGTTAAGCCTCGCCCCCTCAGGATCACACTAGGGAGTGAGGAGGAAAAATGGCAAGTTATCCGGCAGGCAAAAAACTTAGCAAGGAGCGAGGCATTTCGAGATGTATTTATTCACCCAGACCGCACGGTAATGCAGAGGGAACAGCACAAGAAGCTCCTGCTGGACTTGAAGCAGAAGAGGGAGGAGTCGAGAAGGAACGGGGACAGGTGCACATGGGTTATACTCAGGGGGAGGGTAGTGGAAACAAGTGTGCCGACACAGGGCCAGGGGGCAGCAGTGCACCCTCCACCCACTCAACCCCCCACCCGGGAGGCGGCACCGGCTCAGCCTACCGGACAGGAGGGAACGAGCGCCGTGTAAACAATGAAATTTTTAACCACACCCTGCAAAATACAGTGTACTTAGCAAATGCTGCAGCTTCTGAGAATGTGGGTGGAGCGGGTTTATTACTAAGAGCAGAGACGTTACCGAGAACAAATTCTGGCTTGAATGTCATGTACACTAATACCGACACGTTCCTTGATAAGAGGGAGGAGTTTGAAACACTACTAAGAGTACACCAACCAGATATTGTAGGAGTTGTAGAACTGTTGTACAAGAACAGGAGAATCGACCCAGAGGAATGTGAGTTCAGTATTGCTGGATATGACTCATTTACGAACCTAACTCAAGAATCCTGCAGGAGGGGTGTGGTTATCTACGCTAGGCAAGACCTTAGAGCCAGCCAGGCGAGGGTACAGGGAGAGGATGTCTTTGAAGAGTCCAAGTGGTGTAAAATTAAATTAAAGGGAGGGGACTTACTTATCGTCGGGTGTATCTACAGATCCCCGAACTGTGGCCCACTAAATCAAAGGAACTTAAGAACCTTAATAAACAATGCGGCGATGCTCAACCCCAGCCACCTCCTTATCATGGGGGACTTTAACTATGGCGACATCGACTGGAGAAACGAGTCAACCCCGAATGACTTGAATAATCCTGCTACTCTTTTTGTAGAAACTCTGAGAGATAATTTTCTGTTCCAACATGTGAGAGACCCGACACATTACAGAGGGGAACAAACACCCAAGCCACTTGACCTCATCATAACAAACGAGGAGGGTATGGTGGCCAAACTGGAACACCTTGCCCCAGTTGGCACCAGTCACCATACAGTGTTGTCATTCAGATTTAACTGTTACCTAGTTCAAGATAAGGCCAGGCCAAGGTGCAAATATTACAAGGGAAATTACAATGGGATGAGGGAAGAGATGAGGGGTATCAACTGGCCTGACTTATTAAGGTACAAGAACGCAGACACTACGCTGAATATCATAACTAGTAAAATGACCCATTTGATCGATAAATATATACCCAAGACCAAACCCAGTGCTTCTAGGAATACGAGGGGATCCCTACACATGAACCATGCGGCGGTCGACAAAATTAAGAAGAAAACCCAGAAATTCAAGACGTGGGTTGGGTCAAACGATGAGCAGGACAGGAGGATGTATGCAAGAGCCAGAAACCAAGCAAAGATAGAGTGTAGGAGGGCTGAAAAGGAGTTCCAAAGGCTGGTTGCACGCGAGGTCAAGTCAAACCCAAAGGCGTTTTACCGCTATGCAAAGTCGAAATTGAAAACGCGAGTAGGAGTATCAGACCTGAGGCTTGAAGATGGTAGTTACGCAGATTCTGACCAGGATAAAGCTGAGGCATTGAACAGCTTCTTTTCCTCAGTGTTCACAAGAGAGGATGCAACTAACCTTCCTGCGTTTGAGGACAGACGGTTCGACACAGCACTGACCCACATTGTGTTCACAGAAGAGGGTATTAGAAATAAACTGTCCAGGCTAAAGGTCCATAAGAGTCCTGGACCTGACATGGTGCATCCTAGAGTGCTAAGGGAGCTGTGCAACGAGCTTGCAGAGCCCCTGAAGATTCTGTTTTGTAAATGCCTGGATGAACAAATGGTCCCCAGTGAATGGAAAGTGGCTTATGTGAGTCCTATCTTCAAGAAGGGCGATAGGCACTCCACGAACAACTATAGACCGGTGAGCCTGACCAGCATAATATGTAAAGTACTTGAGAGTATTATCAGAGATGCAGCGATGGAACATCTACTACGAAACAACCTTGTAAAAGATTGCCAACACGGTTTTATGCCGGGGCGCTCTTGCTTGACACAATTGCTCAAGGTATTGGATATTTGGACCCATATTCTAGAACGGGGTGGTAATATCGACAATATTTACCTAGATTTTGCCAAGGCTTTCGACAGTGTACCCCACGAAAGGCTGAAAATCAAACTGGAAGGGTACGGAATTCGGGGAAATGTCCTAGCGTGGATAGAAGACTTTCTACATGACCGCAAGCAATGTGTGGTGATTAATGGCACGAAATCGTCATCTGTACCTGTAACAAGTGGGGTACCGCAGGGTAGTGTATTGGGCCCGCTGTTGTTTGTTTGTTTCATAAATGATATGCCTGACGTTGTACACTCCTCCATACAAATGTTTGCCGATGACGCCAAGTTATTTCGGGAAATTAAGAACCAAGCGGACTGTGAAGAGCTGCAGAAGGACCTCTGTGGGCTCCAGGAATGGTCGAAGGAATGGCTGCTGAGATTCAATGTCACGAAGTGTAAGAGGATGCACCTGGGGCGTACCAACGGTAAGGAGGCGTACCATATGTCCCAACGGGATGAAGAAAATGTACTAGTTGAGACTGTGTGTGAGAAGGACCTAGGTGTGTATGTTGACAATGAGCTGAAGTTCTCGGGCCATTGTGAGAAGAAGGTAAATCAGGCAAATAAATTATTGGGTCTTATAAGAAGGTCGT